ACCCTGGTTGGGGTGCATGCAGGAGGCAACCAATTGATGTGTTTCTCTCACATCAATATTTCTCTCTGTCTTTCCCTTTCCCTTCCACTCTCTCTGAAAATCAATGGAAAACATCCTCGGGTGAAGATTTAAAAAAAATTACATAGTGGTTTTGTTAGCTGATTGTGAAATGTTCATTTTCCATATCTGTTGACATAGAAGAAGAAGATAGTGATAATATTCAAATTATATCACTCATATTTTCCTTTTGGGGGTTTTGTAACAGTCTTTAAAACCTCCAAAATGGTATGTCTGTCTGTTTATGTGAGCTTGCCTTCCTTACTAATGTATTAGAAATAAAGTCATGCAGTGTGAGAATATTGCTCCTTACTCAAAGAAAGCATTCCAGTGATACTTTAAAGCATTGTATATTAAAAGAATAAGAAGTTTTCTTAACAACAGAAAATCATTAGAAAGAAAAAAATGTTGAAATGTTGCTCTGTATGTACAACTTAACTCTTAGGTTCTGTCGATAAGACCAAAAGGAAGCTATTTTGGGTTATCTCATTATTAAGTGGAAAAAGGGAAGCATAAAATTATCTGGACAAAGTTTTGCTTTGCTCTTGGCAAAAAATTGTGTTTTATGGAAAAACACTTCAAAATTTAGTTGACATTTTCAGTTATAGTTTTAAAGAGGTAAAGAGTTTATTTATTGTTTATTGTTGCTTGTACTTTTGATATCACAGCTAAACCACTGTTGAATCTAAGGTCACAAAGATATATGCCTATGCTTTTTTCTAAGAGTTCTATAATTTTAGCTCTTACATTTCTGTCTTTAAAACCTTAGTTAATTATTTTTCATATGGTGAGAGTTACAGGTCTAACTTCTTTCTTTTGAATGTGCTTATCCAGTGTCCCAGAACCATTTGTTGACTATAACAAGCATTTCTTGCTTTTGCAAAGTGTAAAGTAAAAGACTGAAATGGTAGTTGCTAGAATGGCAAAGGGAAGGTGTTCTTCTGGGCAGAGGAGATGTCAGACTGAAGAATGAGCAACCATTGTCAAGGAAAAGATGAACTATAATGAGGAGGCAGTAACGGCGGAAATAGGCCTATGGGTTAGAAAGGGTTGATAAAGGCATAGGGCAGCGGTTCTCAACCTGTGGGTCGCAGCCCCTTTGGAAGTCAAACGAACCTTCCACAGGGGTCGCCTAAAGACCATCCTGCATATCAGATATTTACATTACGATTTATAACAGTAGCAACATTACAGTTATGAAGTAGCAACGAAAATAATTTTATGGTTGGGTCACAACATGAGGAACTATATTTAAAGGGCCAGAAGGTTGAGAACCACTGTTCTAGGGCTACAGGGGCATGGTTCTCCACCCTCCCTACCACTAGGAGAGGCCCCTGGTATCATTCAGCAGGTGCCCACCAAAGTCACCGTGATCCATGAAGTGTCAAAGGTATAAAGAATTTTATTTCATTACATCAAAGAAAATGTTAAGAGTATATGCAGGCAAAGACACTTCTGGGAAAGAAGTGGGTGCCAGCCAGTCCTCAACTTTTTGAGGAAATAGGCTGAAGAGGGTTCCCACGGGGTTGGGGTGCTCTGATCCCTGCAGCACCTGGGAATGGGGTGGATGACTGTCATAGGTGATTGGGCTGTGGTAGATAATGTGCTGGCAGGTGTCCTTAGACCGAAAGACCATGGTTCTGAAACAACACAGGGCTCTGGGCGGAGGGCAGCATTCGCAGCTGGGTAAGTGGAAGCGTTCTCTGGAGATGTAGTTCGGAAAGCAGGGGGGTTGGGGTGAAGGTGTATAGCTATTCAGAGTGCATAGAGGCATGGAAACTGTTACATACTTGGGTGTTCTACAGACGAAGATATTCTTGAGCTTTGTTGATAGTTACTTTGGTACCAAGATTGGGCCTAAAGTGGAGAATGAGTTATTGAAAGATGCAAACAGCATTGGGTGCTCAAGTCAACAACATCCTGTTTCTGACACAGTACTCTAAGATGCGATTTTCAAACCTTTTCACTTCATGGCACACAAACTACTAAAATTCTGTGGCACAACAAAAAATATGTTTTTTGTTGATCTGACCAAAAAGGTATAATTTGACTCATTCACACGGGATGGCTATTGTGTTGGCAGGTGTCCTTTTTAAAATTTACCTTTTATTTGACAGTCTAAGGGAAGAGAGGTCAGTGCCCCTGACTAGTCAGGTGTCACATGTTTTTAAAATTCAGTTGAAAATTGCTGCTCTAAGAGGCTAGTGCTGCTGAGGAAATGGACCTGCATGTAGGCAGTAAGACATGGCAATGTGGTGTTAATAGATGATAAAGAGACGATAGCCTCAAAAAACCCTTTAGCAAACAGTAGTTACCCTTCTCAACCTAGAAAAGGATTTCTAAGGAAGAAAAATTGTTTCTCATAGTTGGCCTTGGAGTCTTACTTTAAAAATGCATATACACCTATGTATGCAAATATGTGTGTGCTCAAACCCTTTCCATAAGTACCCGAGTGAAAAAAAACTCAGTTCAGTGAAATGAAAACTTAACGTCTATAACATGTAAAATGTTTGAATCCGCAATACTAACCCTTATTGAGGGCAAACTACAGTCCGTAGAAGAAACTTGTAAAATATATGTCACATGTGTAATGTTGCAGGTCTTGTGCCAAAGTAGAAAGCCTAGTGAGCGAGGAGAAGTTATTTAGAAGTCTTGCTATTTTAAAAACTGTAAATGTTACACAGGTATGTGCCTAACAATTACTGCTGTTTAATTGTGAGGGAAACATTTAGAAGACTACAACAGCTGCATTTTACAATATTTCCCTACATACACAAAAAACAAAGATACTTGCTTGTGCTCCAAAAGAGGGCAAAATTAGAGAACTCATTTTTGTCTTGAACAATTGAGTATCTGTTACTTAAGGAGAAAATTGCTAATCATTGTGGCACTCATAGCAAACAATTGCCTTACCAGTGAAAAAGGTACACTAACGTGGTTCTTAATCCTGTCAATTATTATTATTATAGGTTTTATAGTGGTCTTTCTGACAACTTCATACCACAGTTGAGAAAATGTTACTATTTTAAAAAATGACTTTACTGAATGAAGTCAGTCCATGAAAGAGAATCCTAATATATTTTCCTCTGAAATGGATGTGAGAAATGTAAATTTTATAGCAGTATCATGTCACATCATTTTCATGTTATGATTAGTCGTAACCACTTCCTCCAACCTCTTCCTCAAAAAAACCATTAGGAAGCTTTGACAGAGCATGGCATGGGGAAGAGTCAAGGAAGGAGAGATGACAAGAGTGATAATCCAAAGGCTTCACTTTGCAAAGTGAAAAAGACTATTCTGGGCAGAGAGAAGAGCATGTGCCACTCGCCTTAGGGCTAGAGGAAGCATGTTTTGAAAGTGTTGCTGGGCACAGCGGGGGAGGCAGGACGCAGTGGCAGAGGCTGTAAGGGAGACCGGGAGGCAGCAGCCAGAGACTGAAGAGATACTGGGAGAACGAGTGAGCGAGGAGAGTTTTAAGAAGGAGGGACATTGTGATATGTTACTGGAAGAGCAAATACAACAAGAATTGGAAAACCTAGTTAGAGTTATGGGTGATAATAGTAAGAATATTTTTGATGGAATAGATTGAGAAATGAGAAGTCTCTGAAAAAGTTGACTTGAAGAGGGAGGAGAAAGAGGTTGGCAGCTGGAAGGAGATGAGTTAAGGGGAAATCTTTTAAATTTTATTTATTTACTTAATGGGAGAGACTTAAGCTCAGTTAAAAGCTGTGGGAGGAGTTATAGAGAAGGGAGGTTAATTATGTAATAGAGACAGGACTAATCAGTGACTTACGGCTCCTAAAATGCAGGAGATAGTAGAATCTAAGGCAGAGGGTTCGCCTTTGATAATGGAGAGGGATCTCCTGGGGCCGGAATGAAGGAACTAGAACGAACTGAAAGGAGCAGGTAGATGCAAATGGAGGTAGATTCTGTGGTTTCTGTGTTCTCTGTGACGTAGGAGATATGCTCTCTTCTGAGGGAAGGGAGAGGCTGAGGTGGGTTGGGGTGCAGAGTAGAGGAGGGAGTGAGATAAGGGCCCTGAGAAGAGTTGGTGGTCATGCATTTCTAGTGGGACACAGCCACCCTGTTCCATGACTTTCTTCAGTAGGGTTCCATGACACAGGTGTAAGTGTGGAGAAAATAATTCATTCATGATTGTGTTTTTGCCAGTCAGTTGAATTGCAGCTGTTAGCAAGAATATGTTGAGCCCTGGCTGGTGTTGCTCAGTGGCTGGAGTGTCGGCCATGAACTGAAGGGTCTCGGGTTTGATTCCTGGTTACCGTAAGGGCACATACCTGGGTTGCAGATTAGGTCCCTGCCCTGATCTGGGCACATGCAGGAGGCAACCAGTCGGTGTGTCTCTTTCACATTGATGTTTTTCTCTCTTCCCTTCCCCTCCTCCCTCTCTTTCACTTTCTCTCTAAAAAAAAAAAAAGAAAAAAGTCAGTGGAAAAAATACCCTTGCGTAAGGATTAACCAAAAAAAAAAAAATTTATTTATTCAAGTAACATGTGAAATTTTTTTCTTATAAATATTAGCATTGTATAAATCAGGCCTCAAACCCTATGACCTCCACTCCAGTCAATTCCTATACCTTACCTAGCAGGAGCAGTTGTTTTAAGTTTGGTATGGATTTTTCCAGAATTTACAGGAAAAAAAAATCTCAATGTAAATAGCACTCTATAACCTTCTTACATTAATCCACTTATTTTGATAGAAACCACAATGAGGTTAATTTTTCCTTTCCAGCTTCTAACTGTAAAATATAACATGTTTTTGTAAAAATGCAACATTCATTAGTAAAAATCATATTAAACAAGCAAATCAACTAAATGCCTATAGATAAGGACTTATTGTCCCATATATTATAGCTTTTTAAATGACAGCTGTTGGTCTTCATGTATTGAAACATTATCAATAAGACTATTTCTTCTTGTTCATAGTGCCTGGCTCTCTGGCTATGAAAACCCTGTGGTGTCTCGAATTAATATGAGAATACAAGATCTAACAGGACTAGATGTTTCCACAGCAGAGGAATTACAGGTGGGTAGTCACATTATCCTTGAATTATATGCTATCACACTATCCTTAAATTATCTTTACACTTTTTCAAAAGATGCTTTGTTATGCCTAGATTTCAAGACCCCCCACAGAACCACCAGGGAGCACCGAGTCCGATGCAAAAGCATAGAGTCTTTTATTCAAGCTAGCTTGGTCTCTCTGCCTCCATTACTGGATGCAAGAGAGCCCCGAGTCCCAAGAGAACAAAGAATTTATAGGGCTTGGGGAGGGGGGTGGAGGCACTTGGTCGATTCTGGTTGGTTGAGTGAGGACCGGGGGCTAGTTTCCCTTGCTTTCCCATTGGCCGAGATAAGGGCAGGCTGGGTAACTGATACATTCTGTGGCTTTCCTGGGAGAGGAGTTAGGGACACAGCTATCAGTTCCCTTCTGTCCTTTCACTATCAGTTCCGTTCTGTCATTTTGTTAGGGACACAGCTATCAGTTCCGTTCTGTCCTTTTGTTAGGACACAGCTATCAGTTGCGTTCTGTCCCTTCATTTTCAGATGAGATTTCCTGATACTGCACAGGCAGTACTCAGTTTAATCACAAAGTAGTGATTTTAATAATCCGTGGGAAAATTATATGATTGTTCTGTGTTAAAATTTATCAAAACATTGAAAACTCTTGCCCTAGCTGGTTTGGTTTAGTGGATAGAGCATCAGCCTATGGACTGAAGGGTCTCAGGTTCGATTCCAGGCAAGGGCACAACCCCCAGTTGTGGGCTCGATCCCCAGTAGGGGCTTCGCAGGAGGCAGCCCATCAGTGATTCTCTCTCATCATTAATGTTTCTATCTCTCTCTCTCTCTCCCTCTCCTCTCCTCTCTCTCTCCCTCTCCCCTCCCCTCCTCTTCTCTCCTCCCCTCCCCTCCCCTCCCCTCCCCTCCCCTCCCCTCCCCTCCCCTCCCCTCTGAAATCAATAAAAAAATATTTAAAAAAACATTAAAAACTCTTACTGTCGAGTATAAACTTATAGGGAAATGAGAAAAATGTAATCTTAATATTTATTAAGCACACTATAATGTGTGCCGAGCCAGCTCAGCCAAGGGTTCGGTGAGCCTACGGGGGGGGGGGGGGGGGGGGGGGCGGCGAAGGATGTAGAAAAGACAAAAAGAGAATAAGCTGGGTCTAGGTCAGGGGTGGGCAAACTTTTTGACTCGAGGGCCACATGGGTTCTTAAACTGGACCGGAGGGCCGGAACAAAAGCATGGATGGAGTGTTTGTGTGAACTAATATAAATTCAAAGTAAACATCATTACATAAAAGGGTACGGTCTTTTTTTTTTTAGTTTTATTCATTTCAAACGGGCTGGATCTGGCCCACGGGCCGTGGTTTGCCCACGGCTGGTCTAGGTGGATCTTCCTGTGCCTGGCTGAGGCCACAGGGAGAGATCCAGACTGTAAGCTGAGCCTTTATTTTATAGGCAGAGGTAAAAAAGGTGGTGGGCACCATAGTTACAATGTTCCTGTGAGTTTCACTTGTTTTGGCAGCACTTGCTGCACCTCCCACAGCCCATTAGCTACCCAGATAATATCTAGGGAGAGTCATAAGGTCAAGCGTAATTATGCTAAGAGGGCTGTGCCCTCTAAGCTGGGACTTGTTTGAGGCTTTGCCAACAGGTCAGTCCGAGGTTTAACTCTATAGCCGCTCCCTACACACTGTAATGTGTGTGCTTTTCATTCCTAGGCCTGTCAGGTAACCAGGGAAGTTCTTTTTTTAAAAAAAATATTTTTTCTTCTCTTTTCTATTGAGACATAATTCATATACCATAAGATTTACACTGGTTTTATTGGAAAGAGGACCTGGCCTTTGTGCAACCACCAATACTGTCTAATTCCAGAATATTTTCTTTACCCCAGAAAGAAACCTCAAATACTTTTTTTTTAATGCATTCTTTTTTTTTCTTATTTTTTAAAATATATTTTATTGATTTTTTTACAGAGAGGAAGGGAGAGGGATAGAGAGTTAGAAACATCAATGAGAGAGAAACATCGACCAGCTGCTTCCTGCACACCCCCCCCCCCCCCCCACTGTGGATGTGCCCACAACCAAGGTACATGCCCTTGACTGGAATCGAACCCGGGACCCTTGAGTCCACAGGCCGATGCTCTATCCACTGAGCCAAACAGGTCAGGGCAAAACCTCATATACTTTAAGTACAGGCATACCTTGCAGATATTATGGGTTCAGTTCCAGATCACAGCAATAAAGCAAATACCATAATAAAGTGACCTCACACCAGTTTTTTGTCTCCTAGTGGATATTAAAGTTATGTTTACACTATACATAGTCTGTTAGGTGTACAATAGCATATCTACAAAGCAATGTACATTCCTTAATTTAAAAATACTTTATTGCTAAAAATGCTAACCTATTTTGAGTTTTCAGCAGTATTTTTGCTGCTTGTTGGAGGATCTTGCCTCAATGTTTATGACTGTTAACTGATCATGGTGATAGTGGCAATTTCTTAAAATAAGACAACAGTGAAGTTTGCCACATTGATGGACTCTTCCTTTCATGAATGATTTCTCTGTAGCAAGCACTGTTGTTTGATAGCATTTTAACCCTACTAGAACTTCTTTCAAAATTGGAGTCAATCTCTCAGATCCTGCCTCTGCTTATCAATTAAGTATATGTAACATTCTAAATCCTTTGTTGTCATCAACAGTCTTTACAGTCTCTTCTCAAGAAACCATTTTCTTCGCTCATCCATAAAAAGCAACACCTGAAATTGCAGTATTTCATTATCATGAGATTGCAGCAATTTAGTCACATCTTCAGGCTTCATTTCTAGTTCTAGTTCTTTTGCTATGTCCTCCACATCTGCAGGTACTTCCACTGAAGTCTTGAACCCCACAAAGTCATCCATGAACATTGGAATCAACTTCTTCCAAACTGCTGTTAATGTTATTTTTACCTCTTCTAATGAATTGCAAATGTGTTTTTTTTTCACAGTATACACACACACACACACACACACACACACACACGCATACCCTATATATATTTATCCTACATATATTTTTTATACTTTTTCCTTTTTAATAATTTTTAAAAAATTTATTGGTCGATTAATTTTTAGGGACAGAGAGAGAGAGAGAGAGAAAAACATCAATTTGTTGCTCCACCCATTCATACATTCATTGGTTGCTGCTTTTATGTGCCCTGACCAGGGATTGAACCTGCAACCTTAGTGTAGTGGGATGATACTCCAACCAACCGAGCGACCCAGCCAGGGCAATAATTTTTTAATTAAAGTTGATGTACAATATTATATTACCTTCAGGTGTACAACCCAGTGATTAGAAGTGATCACCCTGATAAATCTAGTACCCATCTGACACCATAAATAGTTTTACAATATTATTGGCTATGTTCCCTGTGCTGTACTTTACATCCCCATGACTGTTCTGTAATTACCATTTTGTATTCTTAATCCCTTCACCTTTTTTACCCAACCTGCTAATCCCTCATCCATCTGGCAACTATTAAAATGTTCTTTGTATCTACGAGTCTGTTTCTGTTCCACTTGTTCATTTATCTTCTTTCTTGCTTCCACATTTAAGTGAAATCATATGGCATTTGTCTTCATTCTGCCTTATTTCACTTAGCACAATATCCTCTAGGTCCATCCATATTGTTGCAGATGGCAGGATTTTATTCATATATATATTGATACTTATTTATTCATTCATATATATTGATTTCAGAGAGGAGGGTAGAGGGAGAAGGAGAGAGAAACATCAGTGACAAGAGAGAATGAATCATAGATCGGCTGCTTCCTGCATGCACCACACTGGGGATCAAGCCCACAACCCTGGCATGTGCCCTGACTGGGAATTGAACTGTGACCTCCTGGTTCATAGGTCGATGCTCAACAACTGAGCCATGTGACTGGGCCTGTGTCCTTTTTAATGCTTATTATCTCTTTTTTTTTAATTTTCACCTAGATCATCCATTCTTCCCTTAAGGTCCTTGAGCATCCTTATAGCCATTGTTTTGAATTCTGCATCTGGTATCTTGGTTACTTCCATTTCATTTAATTCTTTTTCTGGAGATTTCTCTTTTTTTTTTTTTTCATGTGGGGCATGTTTCTTTGTGTCCCCATTTTGTCTGCTTTTTTATGTTTGTCTGTGTGTATTAGGTATATCTGCTGTTACTCCCAAACTTGTTATGGTGCTTTTATGTTGTAGGTGTCTGATGGGGCTCAGAGGCGCTATCTTCTAGATCACTTGAACTGAGTGCTCCAGGAATATCTCTTGTGCACCCTCCTGTTGTAGTTGAGTCTTGAATGCTGCTGGTTTGGTTTTGGGTGGGGTTAACCCTCAAGCTGGCTGTCCATAAGGAAAGACCTGGATCATAGTGTATGCAGCCACTGTGCAGGGGCTGCCCCTGAGGTGGAGTTGTTCCCAGCAGGGTCTGGTGCCTAGCAGGACCCCTCTTAGGGTGTGCCACTTGTGTGGCTAGTTGGGTGAGCTCTGGTATGGTCTAAAGCCCACTATTGGTTGTGTTGGTTCTGGGTCCACTTGGGTGGGGTTCTGGTACAGGTCGATGTCAGATGCTGCCGGGGATACCTGTCTGGAGCTACCATGCAATTTGCTGTTTGTGGCTGCCTCTTCTGGGCCTGAGTGTGCATGGGAGGGGCCAAGCTGTGAATAAGGGTTGGCTTCGTCTAGCTCTGAGCTGGAGACAGATCAATAAAAGGTCCAAGGCACCGTAAGGTCCACATCTACCTGTTGGCCACTCCACCACCCCTGAGGTTGCCTGGTCTTCCTTGAGAGCCTTCTGAAGGAAGACTAGGGTGGGCCCAGGCTGACTGCTATCCACAGACCCTTCCAATAGGCATGAGCTCCATGGGGCAGGGTGACGGGGGTCGGGACGACAGGGCTAGTGGGTCTCCTGCTTGGAGGCAGCATGGCAGTTATTGGAGAAAAGTGGCCCCTACTCCACAGCCATACTACTCCGTCTCTGCTAGAGTCTCCAAC